TTTAGTTTATTACAGTGAACTAATGTATATATACAACTAACAATATTAAGTCAGCTTGAGTAAGTCAGAATTAATCATCTCTGGTTAGGAAATGAAATATTATTCGAAATGCAAAATTTCAACAACTTATAGGGAGCCGAGATTTGTGTTTGCTTTGTATTATGTTTAAGCATTTAAAGGTCATTCAGCTATCAGTTTTGCTAATATTAGGCAAAATATTAAAGCAGTGGTAATTAAGAGATGATATCCCATAAAGCTTTAGGTCAGCAGTTAGAGGCCTATTTCTAGACTACCAGGAATGTGTCTGTGAATGACAAGATAAAGTGAAAGGCTTATATAAGTAAAGATGCATTGTAAAGGAAGACTTACCATTTATTAAATACAATGTCTCAACAAAGTATCCTAGGATTTTGGAATCTGTACTATGATGTATTCTATATTGTTGTTAAGATATATGTCTTTCATACTCAAAATTAACAATGAAATAGTTAATGAGATGTGTAAGGGCATTTCAGAATGCTGAAATAAATGTGGAAACCTAAGATTGTGGTTTTCCATGCGCTCCGTGGGATAGAACTAGGAGGTGTAGTCCCTCCTGCTAGCAGCAAAACTGTGCAAGGGGTGATGCCTGCCTTTGAGGCCCAGAGAAAAAAACACAATATGACAGAGAGCACAATGTAGGGGTCCATAAGTCAAGAATGAACTTTCTCATCTCTAACTGAAGAAAGAAATAACGCTCTGAGAACACAATAGAAGCTGCAGCAATGAGATGGTTCTTAATCACAGGTTTCCTCTGAGGTTTTACATTCTCTAAACGCATGAAATCGTGAGCTATAGAGAGTTATTTTGAAGGATTTCAATGAAATCAGTACAATTGTCTGGGTAAAGATTTTAATAACAAGGGGTAGGAAGGATAAAGAAGAGAAAAAATTCAGCATTTTTCTATTCCACCTGCAAAGATATTCTTACAGAAATCCTCCCTTTCAATTTATGACACACTTGGACTGAATAACAAACTTGAAAGTTGCTGAAATCTGCATAAAACAAAGCTTTATTGAATAATTCATTAGAAACAGTAGAGAACAGATGCGATCATCTCTGTTTTTTGAGATACAAAGGCACATACTGTTTTAGCACAAGCATGTTTTCCCTCCTTGTTTAAAAAAAATATTCAATAGAGAATATTAGCGTGGTTTACCTGCTAAAGCTGGCAATTCCTTTAAACCTTTCAGAAAGAAAGCATTAACTTAGTTATGGAATATCAAGATGGTACAAGATATATACCTGACTTTGTATAATTAACCCTCTTAGAAATGTAACAAACTCGAAATCAAAATTCAGTCTTACCAATAGGCCTTGAGGTCAAGCAAGCATCACATGACTTAGAAGAGGGCTTATTTATTAGTGTACAGACCCCGCACGTCCACTGTTCTTCAGATTTCCGAGCCACAGTGTCCATAAGATGATCCACCCTGCTAGATGTCCAACTGATTATAGTATTTCTAGT